TTTGGTTTGGGCAGTTTCCTCGCTCGCGCCTTAGATCTCATCGTGGCGGCGGACTCGGTGTCTCCTTGAACCCGCAGCAGCTCTGCCCCGCTATCTTCATCTCCCGAGCATTGTCAGTTCGGACACCTTTGCACATGCGCACAGAGCCTTCAATCTGACACCCTCCCGGCGGCCAAAAAAACTTTGCCGTGTATTCATCACCGTCTTTGGGCAGTTTCCTCGCTCGCGCCTTAGATCTCATCGTGGCGGCGGACTCGGTGTCTCCTTGAACCCGCAGCAGCTCTGCCCCGCTATCTTCATCTCCCGAGCATTGTCAGTTCGGACACCTTTGCACATGCGCACAGAGCCTTCAATCTGACACCCTCCCGGCGGCCAAAAAAACTTTGCCGTGTATTCATCACCGTCAGGGGGTTGGGAGTGGGGGTGTAGGGAGGTGAGTGTGTGTGCGTGTGTCAGTGAGTGTGTATCCCTGTGTGTGTGTGTGTGGTTTTCCTTCTCTCTCTCTCTCTCTCTCTCTCTCAACCCCCCCCTTCCTCAAATCCCCGGTTCTATCCTGCCTTTCGGGTAACTAGATGATCAAGGTTCAGATTATATATATTGTGCTCTACAAACTTTGGGTTTCTCCTCTCCCCCCCCACACACACACACACATTTTTTCCCCCTAGGCTTTTCACTGGGTCTGGCCCTTTAAGACAACGCGACCTTTTCCTGGCTTCCTAACCCCTCGCGCGCTGCTCTTACCCTGGCGGACAATATTTAAAGAAGGAAAGGACCAGCCAGGAAGAGGTGATATATATAAATGCATAAATATATATATGTGTGTGTGTGTTTGTGTATGTGTGTGTCTATGTGTGTGCCATTTTTTTAAAAAATAATTGTTTCTCCTTCTCCGTCCTCCTTGCAAAGCTGTGCGGGAGGGGGATGGAAGTTGTAATTGCTTAATTGCATGCTGAACTTTGCAAAATGGCTCATGTTATGATGCGCCATCACGCTGGCTTTCCTCCTCATCGGTCATTGTACTCGACACGGCCCGACCGCTTTTGCATGCTTCCTCGAGAGTAAATAGACACCCACCACACACACACACACTCCCCTTTCTTTTTCTCTCGATAACTTTTCTTGTCTCTTTTAATTTTCTCTAAGTGTTTCTTGTTTTTGTTTTCCCCACCTGTCTGTGCTTTGGGAACGTAGCCTTTTTTTCTTTTTTTGGGGGGGGAGGGAACAAAATCAAACTAATGTCCCCTGAACGGGCTTGCGTTTGGAAATCAGATTTTTTTTTGTTTTTACAATAATACGAATAAACTCTCCTCTCCCGAGAGCGGAGGCTGGCGCCCGTGCCTGTCTTTAGGAACTTCGGCCGTAGAAGCCGCTGCATTTTAAAGGGGATTTCTCGGGAGTAAAGGGGCAGCCGGTTGGTAGAAAGGACGGGGAGGTTCCGAAGGCACAGACCCGAGGTTTCTGGGGTGGGTCGGGAGGCTGCATGGGGGGGGGAAAGAGACGTTACATTTTGCGCTGTCATTTTTTTAAAAGCCTATGTTATCTTCTGTGTGCATTTTAACTTAAGGTGTCTTTTAACGAACCCGAATTAGAGAAAAATAAATGAATTAAGCCCCCCTTTATAAACGATCCTCCCTTGGTAACAACTGTGGCTGGTGGGGTGTTACACTCTCCTTCCCCCCACCCGCGCTTCTATTATAATAATAAAATTCCTTTTAAACTCCCCTCCTTTTCGGAGACGGCTTAAACTTGAAGGATCGCAGCCGGCGGGTGTGCGTGTGCGTGTGCGTAGGTATCTTGACGCCAGTCCGCAGCTTTACTCGGAAGTCAGCCTTCCCCTGCTCCCAAGCTGGCCGTGACCTTACCGCCTTAACGCCGTTCCAAAGGGGACGAGCTGCTCGCTCACTTCCAGGGGACTTTAAGCACAGGTAAGTCCGCCTCCTTTCCCCAGCCTAGCCGGTTTCCTCGGAAGTAAACCACCCGGCGCTCTTAGCCGAGATTCTTCGAGGGCCATGGCTACCCGCTTGGAGGCCACGATCCCTTTGCCTTTCAACCCGCAAGGAATGGGCTCCGCCAGCGGCGATTTTCTCCCTTGCAAAGGGGGAACGCGTGGGGGAAAAACTGTTACTTTTAAGCCTAGTAGCCAAGTGTAACGTAGGGCGGTTACTCACTCCTCCGGTCTCGGACCGTTCTCTCTCGTTCCTCCTCCTTTATCTATTTACAGGTTTCCTCTCCCTTTCTTCTGTTCCACACAGGACGCGGTTCACAGCTGGTAGGAAGCAACCAGCGATCCTGTTTTGCTGGCGGTTTGCAGGAGGGTCGAGGCTAGAAAGGTTTAACACTCTAGGTTTATAATCTGGCAGACCTTGATCAAAGGAAATTATTCTGTATTTTCTCGCTCCCCTACAAACCGTCACCCCACCCCTCTCGACTCTTGGCTAATTTTCTAAGGGCCTTTCAACTTGAACGCTGGATCGTGCCTTTTTTTAAAAAAGTTGCTTTTCCCAAGGAGCTAAATATGAAGGTTTGAGGCTTTGGAGAAAGCGGTGGCTTTTCCTTCTTAAGCTTTTCTTTTTAGGTTTAAAAAAAAAAGGTTTGATCTGAAGCTGTTGTTGGTGATTCTTATCCTGACTTCCAGGAGAGAACAAGGTTTTATTTAAAAAAAAAAAAATTTATCTAGGTAGCTCAGCATTGACCAGGGGTGCTCGGAAAGGAAGAGAGCCGGAGAGAAACAGGAGAGGAGAGCGAGAGAAGTAAACAACGTGGCTACACTATTATTGTTAATTATTATTTATTAATTAATGACGCCCGTTGGGGATTCAAGTGACACGGGGAGAAGCTGGCTGAAAAGATGCATTTACAAAGGGATTCAGGGGAAGGAAAGAGCGACCCGGAGAGCGTCAATCTCAGCGACCTGCAAGAAAATAAACCGAATTATTAGTTTCCGAAAAGAAGACGTTTCCGCTTCAGAGAAAGAAGGAATGAATAGGTGAAAGGCAGGTGGAAGGATAAAAATGTTCGGGCATTTGCCTTGGACCATAAACTTATTTTCTTCCTGGGTTCAAAAGACAGAAAAGCCGTTTGCTTCCCTTTCGCTTCTCGTGATCTTATTGAGAAAAGGAGATTTTTATGAGGGGGTGGCGAGGAAGGTTTATTGAATTACATTTTCAGGAAGAACCCACTGGGAGTTTGCAAATGAACCATTTTCTCCTTTTCTCTGATTTCTTGTCTCCCCACCCCTCAGCCTTCTCCTCCCGCAAGGCTAACATCTACTCCTCGGGAGCAAGCCCCGTTGTATTCCGGTGGGCTTACTCCTCTGTAAGTGTAGCTAGGATTCCAAGCTTCCGCCTCACCTTCTAAAAGTCTTCAACCGCCCAAGATGTCCGAGTTCTCTCTTACCATTCGCAAACGATCAACGAAGCTGCTCGTGGACCCCCTTCCGTCATAAAAGCCAGTTCACACCAAACTTTCATAACAAATGGTTTGCAAAATGAGCTGGTTCTAAATGTAGACCTCGAGAGGCGCTTTGAAACACATCTCGAATTATTTCTAAAGCGCGGGTTCCCTTAAGGGTTTGGATTCTGTCTTGTGAAATAAGTTATTTTCTGTAAAATGTCGAATCGAAAAGTAGCTTTCCTACCCCGTCAACAGAGATCTCCGTTCCCGAAAAAAGTATTTTTCTCAAAACGAAAAATATTTTCCTTACTTGATACCTGGACAACCCAGAGTCCGTAATTATTCGTAATTCACTCCTTTCAAGGAAAAAATATATATCCCACCCACCCCCTTGCTAATTCCACGGTATATGCGGTTGATGATTGTGACCCACAGCTAAAGCCGCGATCCTATAGTTGTCAGGAACTCCGGCGTGTCTCCTTTTGAGTAAACCTGTCTCAAAAAGCAGCTGTGCTCTTGTGGGGGGAGGGGTCGCTATTAATGGAGGGATCCGAACCAATTCAGCTTCCCGGGGTGGGGGAGACAGAGAAGTAGGTCTACTCGGAAGTCGACCCTATGGAAGCCAATGGGTTTTACCCCCTTGATGGATCTTGGAAGATCTTCTTTTACTAGGTGAAACAGAAAGAGCAGACAGATTCCTGTGCCAGAGACCTGTCATCTCACATTCAAGTCCACCTGTACGGATACGTATGCACTTATGTGTGTGCGTGCGTATAATATCTACTATATATAAGTATATACATACCTACTATATATTGAATATATAGTGTCTTATCAGGTAGGCTAAACCAGTCTTTAGAACCCCATTTCGTTGCTCCCGGCGCAGGCTGTTAGGCGGCCAGGAAAGGCCACCGCAGATAATAAAGCAAAATAGGCGCTGGTCCTGAAATGTTAAAATTGGAAGTAAATTATTGATTTCAGAAGGAGTCCTTGATGTGGTTTTCCTCCCTCCCCACCCCCAACGCAAGTCTGGGCTCCCTGAGGAGAGACTTACCCCTGAGGAAACCGTTTGTACAGGATTGCCCTGTGGGTTTTCCCTTACCTGGAGAGATTCGGTAGGATAGAGGGGAAAAAAATTAAGGACCAAGTGATGGAGGAGGAGGAGATTCAGAAAGACAGTCGGTCCCAGGCCCACTCCGAAAGAGTTACATCTAGGAGGACATGGAGGTTTGCTTTTGAGTAAACTTCCTTAGGGATTGGGGCCAACCTTCCTCGGTATATGGCTTCCAGCTTATGCTTGTTTGCTCTGGAGTCAAGAAGAGATTCCAGTAGGATTTAAAGTTATATGTATATAAAACAGTAGGATTGCAA